CTGGAGAAGAGGAGGCTCCGGGGAGACCTAATAGCAGCCTTCCAGTACCTGAAGGGAGCCTACAGGAAGGCTGGGGAGAGCCTGTTTAGAAAGGCCTGCAGTGACAGGACGAGGGGCAATGGCTTCAAGCTGGAGGGGAACAGATTTAGACTGGAGATGAGGAGAGGGTTCTTCACTGTGAGGGTGGTGGAGCACTGGAACAGGTTGCCCAGGGAGGTGGTAGAGGCCCCATCCCTGGAGATATTCAAGGAGAGGCTCGATGAGGCCCTGGGCAACCTGGTCTAGTTGGGGGTGTCCCTGCTGACTGCAGGGAGGTTGGACTAGATGACCTTTGGAGGTCCCTTCCGGCCTGGGCAATTCTATGATTCTATGATTCTCCTCCCTTTTCCCCACCGCAGGACGCTGCCCAAGACCTGCATGGAAAAGATCGTGGAGAACGTGCGGAAGTTCAACATCCAGGCGCTGCTGGTCATCGGGGGGTTCGAGGTGCGGGGGGAACCCTCGGCCCTGGTTCGGTGGGGGCCGGGGCTGGCCGTGGGCACCCTGGGCCACCCCTTTTGGGGTGAGGATCCGTCTCCCCAGCCCTTGGCTGTTGGCAGGCCTACGAGGGGGTGCTGCAGCTGGTGGAGGCCCGCGGGCAGTATGAGGAGCTCTGCATCATCATGTGCGTCATCCCCGCCACCATCAGCAACAACGTGCCCGGCACCGACTTCAGCCTGGGCTCGGACACGGCCGTCAACGCGGCCATGGAGGTGAGGCCTTTTGCCTTGTTGCAGAGCAGCAAGATGGGGATGGAGGCGGTGATGGCGCTGCTGGAGGCCACACCGGACACCCCCGCCTGCGTGGTGAGCCTCTCGGGGAACCAGTCAGTGCGGCTGCCCCTCATGGAGTGTGTCCAGGTGGTGAGTACCCTGGTTGGGGGGGGTTACCTGCTGGGTGGGGGGGTCCCCTGCTCCCCCTCCCCTCCAAAGCCTGGGTTTGATGGTGCTGCGTCTCCCCCTCCCTTCCCCAAGACGAAGGATGTGCAGAAGGCCATGGATGAGAAGAGGTTTGAGGAGGCCATCCAGCTCCGCGGGAGGTGAGGAGCGGGGACAGGCGTGGGGGGAGACGTCCTTATGGGGACATGCTGGGGTGGGGGCTTCTCCCCAGCGTCCCCCTTGCACCCTGAGGTCCAGGCACACCTCGGGGCCACCACCACCTCCTCCTTGCAGGAGCTTTGAGAACAACTGGAACATCTACAAGCTGTTGGCGCACCAGAAGCCGGCGCAGGAGAAGGTGAGGAGGGACGGGGAGCGGCGGGGGACACCTTCCCCTGCCTTGGGGACACACGGTGACGTGGTGGCCCTGTCCCCGTCCCCACAGAGCCCCTTCAGCATGGCCATCCTGAACGTGGGTGCTCCGGCTGCCGGCATGAACGCCGCCGTCAGGTCGGCCGTGCGGATCGCCATCTGCCAGGGACACACCGTCTACGTGGTGAGCGACGGCTTCGAGGGCTTGTCCAAGGGGCAGGTAAGGGGGACGGCGGGTTTCCTCGGGGG